GCTCCATCACCTTGGAAAGCAAGGAAGTTATCGCGATAGGCCTATAGCTCGATGGGTCCGACCGGTCACCCTTCTTGGGGATAGGGTGGACGTGGGCGGTCTTCCATGAAGACGGAACCCTGTTAGCGCAATAAGAGAGGCGATACAGACGCGTTAGCGCAGGCGTCAGCTCAGGGGCGCACGTTTTCAGAACCACTGCGGGGATGCCGTCTGGCCCACTCGACTTATGGACGTCCAAGAGTCGGAATTCCCGCCTGACTGCACACTGTGTAAAGCAGATCTCCGGCAGGGAACTATCACACCGGGGGATATTCGGTGGTGTGGCACCCCCGTCGTCCACGGTCGAGTTCGAGGCGAAGAGTTTGACCAGAAGGTCAGCCTTCTCTTTCGCACTATGGGCCAGACTGTCATCGGACTTTGGCAGTGGTGGGAGACTAGACCTGCAAAAGTTTCCTTCTGCGGCTTTGGCGAGCGACCAAAAAGCACGGCTCCCAGAGGGATAGCTCTTTAGTCGCTCGCCAACTCTAGCAACGTGCTCCGACTTCGCCTTGGCAATAACCTTCTTGTAGGACCTGGAAGCGGCGTTATATTTCCGCCTTTCCTCTGTGATGTTAGGGTCCTGACGTCTCCTGGCATTATCCCATGCCACGTATGCGGACCGCTTGAGGTGTGCAGCATCCCTGCTGGCATTGTTATACCAGGGTCTGCTGCGACCCCCAACGGACACTTCAGAAGAGGGAATAAACAATTCCATCCCCTGGAGCACCACGTCTTTAAGACGGTCCGCACAGACGTTAGGATCAGCAGAAGAAAAGCAGAACCGCCCCCATGGGTAGGATGCGTAAAATTCACGCAATCCATCCCAATCTGCTGACAAATACTGCCAAACTCTTCGATACCTGGTCGTCGTTCGACGACTAGGACGAGAGAGTGGTGTGGCAGCACGGATAAGGCAGTGATCAGACGATCCAAGCGGAGCGTCGACTTTTTTACCCCGTTCGACTTTTTTCGAGTTTTTTACCCCGAACGACTAATTTTATAAGCTATGAACCTTTCGAAAGCTTTCTAGAGGCTTATAATAAAACTAGGTAACAGACAGAACAGCTTCGTTACAAACTGGACCTAATGCCTTGATTCGGTTTTTAAAACATAATTATGGCTAGTTATTAAAATAATTTACATTACTGTCCATAATATTATGTATTACTGTTTATCTACTTACTTAGTTTGAATTTGAATTTGTTGTATTAATACCCATTCCATGTTTTTTTTTATTGCTTAGATGGGTGGACGAGCTCACAGCCCACCTGGTGTTAAGTGGTTACTGGAGTCCATAGACATCTACAACGTAAATGCGCCACCCACCTTGAGATACGAGTATAAGTTCTGAGATCTCAGTATGGTTACAACGGCTGTCCCACCTTCCAAACCGAAACGCATTACTCCTTCACAGCAGAAATAGGCAGGGTATAAATTTAAGCATACCTTAATATTCTAGAAGTTAATAACTTCAGCGAAATTGTTTAAAAACATCTATTAAATATCGATCTGGTATAGACTATCTGAATGAACACTAAATAACTCTTCGTATATACTGTGTCACTTATAATATTTTGAATTCAAGCTTAACAATATTTGCTATGTGTATGTGCATTACTATAATTCTCATGTTGTATTTGTTATTTTAGCTGTTCTACACACACTCATCACTTTTAATTATTATTCTCATAAACCTCTCGCAGCTCTGCTGGAAGAGATTTCGTAAAGAAATAAGCAGTGCCTTTGTACATAATTTTCCTATTACTCTGTACTATGTCTTCTTTTTTGTGTGTACATAAATAAATAATTGTTACTCATGCTATTTTTTCTATTCAGCTGGATACTTCCCAATATCCGTTTCCCAATGTGCTTTGGCACGTGAAGCCCGCCGAAGAGATGGCCATCAAGTCTTCCATGATGATCCTGGTCGGAGTGAGCGGTATTTTCCTGAACTGTGTCATCTTGACTATTCTAATTAGAAACAAATGGCTTTGGAGCCCAAGCAACTGTCTGATCGGAAATATGGCGCTAATAGATTTCCTGTTACTGTTCTTCTGTCCTTGGTTCATGCTCGTTCGAGATTTCTTTCAGAATTACGTGTTGAAGACCTTTGGATGCCGGTTCGAAGGGTTCTTACAAGGTAAGCTAAATAGGTGGTGCTTTTTACTGGTGGTAGGACCTCCTGAGAGTCTGCGCGGGTAGGTACCACCACGCCTATTTCTGCCGCAAAGCAGTAATGTGTTTCGGCTTGAAGGATGGGGCAGCCGTTGTAACTATACTTGAGACCTTAGAACTTATATCTCAGGGTGGGTGGCACATTTACGTTGTAGATGTCTATGGGCTCCAGTAACCAGTTAACACCAGGTGGGCTGTGAGCTCGTCCATCCATCTAAGCAATAAAAAAAAAGAAATGTGCCTTTTTAAATGACTGACTCGGTGGTGCTGTAGTTAACAGTCCTGACTGTTACGTCGAGGGTCGTGGGTTCGATTCCCACATCGGACAAACATTGTATGATGTACAGGTTTTCTCTTTGCTTGGGTGTTCATTATCTACATATGTATATATTTAAACAAGTATATTTATCAGTCTTTGGTACCTATAACACGGGGCTTTCTAAATTAGGGATGAATGAGCGTGCGTGATTGTTCTCAATTATTATTATTATTAAATAGCGCAATTCAAAAAAAATACCTCAGTGATCTTAATCCCTAACAGATAATTCTTGTTTTGTCTAACCATTGTTTTAAGTGAGATGGTTTACTGAAGAGAAATTTAAGTTTTTTTTATTTATTGCTTAGATGGGTGGACGAGCTCACAGCTCACCTGGTGTTAAGTGGTTTCCTACCCGCGCGGACTCACTAGAGGTCCTACCATCAATAAACAATTTCATTTATTTTAAGAATAGGCTATGATTGTATTTTTTTGTCACAGCATCACTGCTATTAGCTAGCGTCGGAGCGGTTATGCTAGTATCCTACGATCGGCTAGCGGCTGCGGTGTTGACCGCTGAAGCCAGAATCACTAAAGACGCGGCCCCTAAAGTTATCGTGATCACTTGGATTGTTTCTAGTGCTTTAGCTCTTCCTTGGACCATTAAAAGGAAATACGTGGTGAGTTATTATTTTGTACCAGTGTTGATTTTTGATTAGACCCAATGTATGTCGCTGCATTATTACATTTCATTGTGTCACTATTAACATTAAATAAATTATTAGTGATATAAATAAGATTTATGTGCAATATCGTCACAGAATGAAACGAAACGTATGTTCTCATTTTTTATATTATCTGTGCATTTTTCACTCGACACGTCTTTGGCGCCTTTTTTAGAAATTTTCAAATTTTATGTCTAAACAATATTGTCGGACTAAAAATATATAAAATTACTAGCTGACCCGGCAGGCTTCGTAGTGCCTCAGTCGATAAATAAAATACCTAAATTTTGGTATAAAATAAACTTAAAACAAACAAAAGGAATCCGTTCGACGGGGGACACATCAAAGGAATAACAAAATTGTTATTTTTATAGAATTCCGAGCATTTTCATATTTATCTACCTTTTAAACCTTCTCTGGACTTCCACAAATAATTCAAGATCAAAATTAGCCAAATCGGTCCAGCGGCTCTCGAGTTTTAGCGAGACTAACGAACAGCAATTCATTTTTATATATATTATATAGATAGATTTCCACAAAAGCGACTTACCTAATTTAATTAAATTATAATTAAATAGCATTAAAAAATGAAAATTGCTGTGGAAATCTTGTTAAAAATAAAATTATTAAAGTATTTTTTGACACGATACATGTATAGGCTGTTTTAGATTTTTAAAGGTAATTCAAGTTGGACTTTTAGATAGATTTTTAGTTTTTCAGTACGTTTTTATTGAGTTGGTGTATTTGTTTGTTTCTACATAACGGAATCTTTGGACTTTATTTAGTTGATTTAAACTTCAAGATGTCTCATTAATTTTTAAAATTTGCACACGCACAAGAATTATGACAGTAATATCATCACATAGTATAAAATAAAGTCGCTTTCTCTGTCCCTATATCCCTATGTATGCTTAAATCTTTAAAACTACGCAACGGATTTTGATGCGGTTTTTTTAATAGATAGAGTTATTGAAGAGGAAGGTTTATGTCTATTAACTTTCATTAAATAGTGGAGAAATCAATAATAAATTACAGTTTCCGAAGCGAAGCGAGGGCGGGTCGCTAGTAAAGTAATTTAGAGAATGATAACAGCAATTTTATAGCTTTGCTCTAACATCCTGATTAGTAACAACAATATAAAAACGGATTGATAGGTCAGTTTGATATTCCAGTATGCTTTTTTTAGCTTTTAAACGACATTTTATATAATTATTATTATATTTCCTATATATTACTCACTGTCCATTGATGTAAGTTATTTGATTTTATATTTATTGTATTACTGGTGTTTATTATTAATGGTAAACACGTGATTAATTTTTGTTTTATTCTATCTTTAAAATACCATGTGGTGCATCCATATAATAAAAAATAGCCAAAATAGCCCAAAAAAATATAGCCAGTCCTTTGTTATAACTGCCATGATTTTTATTTATATGTTGTGAATGAATAAGTAAATAAAATTTAACACAATGACTAAGTTAAGTTGTTGACTTAATACAAACCTTAACCGAATTTATTTCACAAATTAAATAGCAGAGGTATCTTAATATCTTCCAGGAACGTCAATGGCTGAATTATTTGGAAACTTTTTGCGCTGAAGACGTTCAACTCCTCGGAATATATTGGCACCTACTTCTCACGATGCTAGTATGGGTCCCTTTGGGCATAATGATTATTACTGTAAGTCGGTAACGTATTTTTACAAGCCAATAAGCTAGCGTTTAGTTACTGTATTTTCTTTATACTATATATCGTAAAGCTAACTAATATTTCATTTTTATTACTACGGCTATTTTTATTGGCTTTGAACAAACAACACGCTTTATGTGATTTCGGATCCTCCCGATCCACTAACGGTGCTTTTAGGTACCCCAAGCACCGGTCAGGCTCGACAAGTAAATTAACCCACAGACACAGCCCGCTGAGATTCTCACCGGGTCCTCTCAGTGGGTCGCGTTTCCGATCCGGTGGTAGATTCTGCGAAACACGGGTCTTGCTAGGGTTCGTGTTAGCAACATCGTCAGGTTTGAGCCCCGTGAGCTCACCTACAAGCTCGGTGAATCTAGAACAACCCCTCGAGGTTACTAGAATAGGTAGGAATAAAAAAACGCTTTAACGAAAATTAAACCTAAGAATATGATTTAGTTATCATGATAACAGGTTATGATACCATGATAGCAGGTTATGATAGCAGGGTGTATTGTAAACAGTTGCAGTCATGTCTTCGGGTATAATGGGTGGGGCAGCCGTTGTAACTATACTGATACCTTAGAACTCATATCTCAAGATGGGTGATGGCATTCTTAATGTATTATCTACAAGCTTCGGTAACCACAAAAATCAAGCACCGTGAGCATGTTCATTTAACTACACAATAAACAGAAACTTTAAAGATAACCTTTTTTTTTAACTCTAAACACTACAATTTTACAGCTTAGCTTAGCATAGCTTTCTTTAATTGAAATAAAGCGCTATATATTTCAATAGATTACAACCGCACGCGTATTATGTAGAGTTTTGAATCATAAAAATTCACGGTAATCTCAAATTTACAACACAAATATATATTCAGTTTTTGTTTTTTTTTAATCAGTATGGTGTGATTATGTGGCGCCTTCAATGGAGTGCTAGAGCCTTATCATCACGAGGTGGAGGCAGATCGGTAACCAGAGCCAAGGGAAAAGCCATGAGGATCGCGGCCTTAGTATTGATTGCGGCTGTCGTGTGCAGAATTCCATACACAGCTCTGTTGTATTGGCGAAACAATTTGCCCCCGAAGATAAATTCTGTAAGCCCTTTATTTCCTTTTTTTTCCGAGAGAGATTCTTTTTGGAATTTACATTCGATTTTTTTACTTACGAAATTCGAATTTAAAATTACGAATTTATTAGATTCTTTTTAAAATTGGTTATTTTGTTACCTACGAGTATTTACTGTAGTATATGGATATGACAGGAGTTTAAACAGATGCTAAATTCCCCTGAGGAATCTTTTCAAACATAATTTAAAGGTGACCTCTTAGTATGCAAGAGGGGTGTAGACTCAAAAATTCTTATTCTTTTTTTATTGCTTAGTTTGGTGGACGAGCTCACGGCCCTCCTGATGTTAAGTGGCTACCGGAGCCAATAGACATCTACAACGCAAATACCGCCACCTACCTTGACGCATAATTTCTAAGGCCTCAGTTCAGTACCACGGTTGCCCCACCCTTCAAACCGATACGCGTTACTGCCTAGGTACCACCACGCGTTACTGCGTAGGTACCACCACCATGCCCGTGTGCACTCATAAGACGTCCTACCAGCAGTAAATATGCTAAACGTTACAATCACGTTGTGATGTCCCAAGACTTAGGTAGCCAGTTAAGACTAATTGAACAAGCTCGTCTGCCCATCTAAATCGACCTCTGTACTCAACAGGTCGACGGCAGTTTCTCAATAATGTGGTTCGCGGCCAATTACCTAATGTACTTGAACTGTACCATCAATCCTCTGATTTATGGATTCACCAACCTCAGATTTAGGAAAGCTATGGACCGGACTCCGGGAGTGGCTTGTTTCAAGTTCGGATCATGGTGTTGCGTTTGCACTTTTGTTAGTAAAATATTTAATTATCATTCTTCTTTGTCTCCACCTTATCCCACTAGGTGGGGTCAGCACAGCGAATTTTTCTATTCCATTCTCTTCTATCAGCTGTCATCTCAACACTCACTCCTCTCTCTCTCATATCGTCATTCACACACTCCATCCGTGTCTTATTTGGTCGTCCTCTAGCCCCTCTACCTTGCACTGCCATTTCCATGCATCTCCTAGTCACATGCATCTCCTCTCTACGCATCACATATCCATACCGCGATAACCGTTTATTTTAACCGTTAATTATTTTATTCATATTTTTAGGATTCTATTTTTATCTAATCCCAAAACCAATAGAAGGGGGTCAATTAATGGGGCCAAACATGTTATTATCAATTTGGATACTATTACTTCAATATCATCTCTATTTTATTATTTCTATGTGTGTGAAGCAGTAATCTACACGAGTTCCGGTCATCGTTCTCGTCGAACCCGTCGCTTGCGGCGAAGGACTCCGCGAGTATATTAACCCACAGACGTAGCCCACTGAGTTTCTCGCCGGATCTTCTCAGTGGGTCACATTTCCGATCCGATGGTAGATTCTGTGAAGCACTGCTCTTGCTAGGTTTGCAGCTCAGTGTTAGCAACGTCATCAGGTTTGAGCCCCGTGAGCTCACCTACTTGTTAGTGTTGCGCCGAAATGGCCTCTCAAGGCCATCGGTAAAAGTAGGGAAAAAAAAGAAAGATACGAGTATGATGGCAGGAAAAATTGTCCCACAAAACGACCTCTACTTCTCTACCAGGGCGTGTTAGGATCTCTCACAGTTCAGTAACAGGCGTTGTTGGAAACAAGCGGTTTAATCAGGAAGGACAGTCATTATCATAATTCAAGAAAAGCGTACTGCTTAATCATATACCATTGCACATTTTCATTATTTCAGTTCAAAAGAAGAAACTTTATGGCCGGCGACAAGAATACAGAGAAAATATTCGTAATAGAAAATTCTCCGGGTCCAAACAAGAAACTGTCCAGAGTCGTCAAGAACATTCTTCATATTAACAAAGATTCTATTGAGTTCAGCATTAAAATCGACGAGATGACCACAAAGCCGACTAAACTGACTCCTTTGAAAAACGAACAGTTTTGAGACCACGTTAACTTTGCGGGTATTTAATACAGCTTTTTCTAACTTCTCTTCATACCTAGTTTCTAATTTGTCTACATCTCTGTTTAGCTATTTTATTTCTGCGGCCATGGTCGTTCCATCGAGTGTTTTATTTAATTTATATTATTTTACATTAATTTTTATATGTATCATAAATAATTTAATTGAAATTAATAGAAGTTTATTATGGGATTAGCACTGATGGATTTAAGGGTTCAAAATCGGACCCCAGTGTGCTTAGTGCGAATTTTTTAAAGTTCTCGATAGCGTAAAAGTTAACTCAAATTTGAGGACCTGCGGTAAACGGCAAATGTTCCAACTCCATACAAATTTTAGTTAACTGATACGCTATCGAGAACGTTACAAAACTCACACTAAGCACATTGAGTTCAAAGTCGGAGCTAAAGGACTACAGGGCTTTCAGTTGGATCTATTTCGGGCTAGAGGTTTCTATATTGGCTCTAAATCCAGTTGGCGTACTTGGTATTAGAGGCAATCATGTATCATGTGTCATTAAATAAATACTTAAAATGTTGAAAAGTTTTATTTTCATTTTATGTTTGAATTTCTACCGTTAACAATCATTCGTTGTTTCCCGAAAAGCCGCATTCTGCTTCAGACGAGATTTTTTTTTTATTACCGTGTAGGTTTACGAGCATACGATCCACCGGATGGTGAGTGGTTACCGTCGTTCATGGACGTCAGCAATGCCAGGAGCTAAGCCAAGCCGCTGTCTACCGTTAAGTACTCTTCACAAGCCTTGTTTGAAGAAGGACATGTCATAGCGCTCGAGGAGGGCAGCTCATTCCAAAGCCGGATGGTACGTGGCAAAAAAGATCTCTGGAAACGCACTGTGGATCAATGTAGTGACTCCAGGTAGTATGGATGAACTCTACTAGATATGTAATTTAAGATATAAAAATGAAGGTACTACAAATTTATTCACTAACTTTTGTCGCATATCAATACTGTCCACTTAGATTTATTTTAATTACAAAGTTATTTTGATTCATTCCCTTTATTATATCCAGAGTTATATATTTCTCATACTGCATTCTTTCCTTGACATCTTTGATTTAGAAATAAGTATTTAATTATTATATTAAACAGTACATCATATTATATGGTAGATTCATTTGTTCACTTAAACTATATTACTATTTACATCACCATCTCCATCTAAAAGTCCATTTAGTTCTTGAATCTTCATTTCCAGGGTTTCTTTCATGTTTGGTTCCACTTTCAGGATATTCGTCGCTTCTTGCAATAATCCCATGCGTTGCATCAATTGATCCTAAAATCAAGGCATTTTAATTTATATATGGTAGGACCTCTGGTGAGTCCGCGCGGGTAGGTACCACCGCCCTGCCTATTTCGGCCGTGAAGCAGTAATGCGTTTCGGTTTGAAGGGTGGGGCAGCCGTTGTAACTATACTGAGATCTTTAGAACTTACATCTCAACGTAAACGGATGGCGCATTTACGTTGTAGATGTCCATGGGCTCCAGTAACCACTTAACAGCAGGTGGGCTGTGAGCTAGTCCACCCATCTAAGCAAAAAAAATAAATGTATATACATTAATAACTTATCGTCCAGAGACTGAATGAAATAGTATTTACAGAGGTTCACTGAACTCAGCATTTCTAAAGTATGCATACCATGTTTCCATTTTCACTTTTTTCGAGCCTCTGTGGTTCTGATATCGAAATCATGGATAGTTTTCGTAAGACATTTAAAACTGTCTAAAAGTGTGGTAGCGTGTTTGTATCAACAACAAGTCCAATTTTTATCCCGATCGGAATCGATTTATTTATTAAATTAGGGCTCGATATGCCATGCCATGTTTCGCTTGTTCGAGATGGTTAGGTGTCAAACCACTTTTTCAACGATTTGGACGTATACTTTGTAAGAGAAGAAATTTTCCAAGAAGCTTTGACTTCCTAGCTACGAGTACTCTGACAATGTCGCTATATTAATAAAGAGTGGTCTATTGTGATCATTTCGGATTTGAGACACTTATCTAGAAATCATTTCTATAATGCACAGTGAATAGTATAGTTCTCTGACTTACGAATTGAAATTTTTGATTCATAGACTCTGACAAGAAACATGGGTGCCGAAAAAATAAATAAAATAATTACCGATTAATACACTAATATCGTAGCGATACAAGAAGCGATAACGTCATCAAAGAGACCAGACGTTTTAATTGTAAACAACGGAATTAAAAATTCATTTTATTGAATTAATAAAATGCATAAATGTTCGTATTCATTTTAAAAATGTCAAAGTAACTACGTAAAGTGTACCACTAACACATAGTTTACGTGCATTAACGTAGTCCAATTTATTTATAGTAGCAGTAAACTCGCGAATGTGCATAACTGTTATTTTCTCTGGCAACTCTCCATAATTCCGTTTGTATAACGTATTTTAAACGTAACCTAGTCTTTCATAATCACAATATTCCCTGTCTCTGCAATTCGCATAGTAAGTAGCATTGCTCGATACGATTACTACGCTCGCATTGTCCCTTAAGCCTTGTTCGGACTAGGCGAGTATTTTAGTCGAGTACCGAGTAATTTAGTGGCTAAACTACTCGCTACTCGCCCGAAAAAACAGAACAAAGTGGATTGACATGACTAAATTATTTACTAGCCTACTCGACTAAATTTTTGGTGCTCAGACACATTTAGCTACTAAATTACTCGGTACTCGACTAAAATACTCGCCTAGTCCGAACAAGGCTCAAATTAAGCGTCCGACTAAACGCCCTTTTTCCATATTATTGTCCTTTTTCATTAAAGTCGTCGTGGCCTAAAGGATAGACGACCGGTGCGTTCATATTAAGGATGCAACGGTGTTCGAATCCCGCAGGCGGGTAACAATTTTTCTAATGAAATACGTACTTAACAAATGTTCACGAGAAATTGTCTTCCAGTAATAAACCATTTCCATGCCTAGTAAAAAGTTTTCAGAAATATAAATCGTTACAAGCTCCTAGACATTCCTTTAGACCCCTTCTTAAAAACTTCATATGATTCCCTTCTTTTCTCTCCTACTATTTGTTTTTCTCTCAACATAGATAGGTCCCATTGTAATGTAAACACTACTTTTAACCATATTGTAAATACTAAATGGCCAAATTGACATCACATATATGTATACTGATGCCTCCAAACATCCCACAGGGTGTGTTGGAGTAGGTGCAGTGGCGTAGCTACCTAGGGGCTTTGCGGGGCAGTGCCCGGGGCCCTCAAGCTCAGGGGGCCCTCAAATCCTTGCCAGAATCTCGAAGGAATAACATTGTATAATAAAAATCAAACCCGCAAAATTATAATTTGCGTAATTACTGGTGGCAGGACATGATCTGCACGGGCAGGTACCACCACGCTGCCGGTTTGAAGGGTGGGGAAGTCGTTATAACTATACTGCGTCCTGAGAACTCATATCTCAAGGTGGGTGGCGGCATTTACGTTATAGATGTCTGTGTGCTCCGGTAACTACTTAAAACCAGGTGGGCTGTGAGCTCGTACACCCGTCATACAATTAAAAAAAAAAAATTATTAAGTTTACCAGACGCCTTATTTGTTACTATCTGAGATTGTACATACTACAAACGCAGATACTATTGGAAATTGCTAATTTCAGATATAGTATCAAATATGCCGACTGACGGCCGTTGACGACTGCTCTACGATTCTGCGGCACAAGCAGACATTACAGTGAAACATGGAACATTAACTATGTCAATGACCAAAAGTTGTTCCGAAAATTCCGGAAATAATATTCCTTAATGAAATAAAAATATAAGTTGTGATTTTAACTTTAACTTTCTTTTGTTATTGAACTTTACGTCACTAAATCGTTAATCGCACCAATGTAAGCTCACCTGGGTTCCTTCTTTTGTCAACTTTCCAGATTCATAGTCTCTCTTCGTCTGCATCGTCATTGCAGCTTGCAAATCCAGGAGTAACGTTCCCCGGAACTTAGTCCAGCCCGGTTCCAGCTTGTCAGCGATCTCGAGCAACTCATAGCAGATGTCAATTTTACGTTTTAGCAGATTATCTGACAATTCTATAACAAGAACATAAAATTCTTTTTAGTGAACGGTTTATTTTTTGGCACTTTTACATTAAGGACTTGGGTTTTAGTCTCACGTGGCTACGAAGCAATTTTAGTCCAACACAATTTAGTGACAAACTATAAATTTACCTTTCTTCGTCTTTTTCTTGCATCCAAAATAACACAATACAATAAAGTACTTAGTTTGGAAACTAGACACTGAGGGCAAGCTTGAAATGAAATAATTGTTACATAAATATTTTTGAATAAGTTTTCTCTTAGTCCGCCATATCAATGTATGTGCGACGCCAAATAATAAAATAGCGCATAGATACTTCCAACCAAAATTGCAGCCAAAATTAAGATTACTATGAACATTTTAACACTAGCAACGGAGAGCTCAAATGCGAAAATTATAAATGAAAAATACACGCACCAGATAAAGTGTAACCTTTATAGTTTCCATAAATTTGGACCAGTGCCAGCTTCGCTTGGACGACCAAATGATTTTTCGGATGCAAAATTTGACTGTACTTTCCAATGAACTCTTCAAAATCTTTAGGGCCTCTCTTGTCCACTTTGCTTAGTTCTTGATTTAAAACGTTATTCCCCGAAACCATCTGTCGGCTCAAAATAGAATGATCGCATTTTTCACATTTCCACGGCGCGTTTTCTTCTAATGGATTCGTTGAAACTAGCATCGGTCTGCTTACATTTTCGTTTCCCAAAAAATTGCACAGCGAACAATAGATATTGCCTAAGTACGTGCCAAATTCGGTGGGATCCTGACATCTTGCACACGTGCAATCAAACCATTTGTTTGTTTTCAAATGCTTTCGCCGCTCCAAGGTTCCCCATAGAGATTGAGTGTACGTAGCAGTAATCAATTCGCCTTTAGCTATCGGCACGGTTGCGATAACCGCCAAATGATACTCATCGCCAACGAAAACGTGTTTGGTATTCGGCAGGCAGCTGTGATCCATCATCGAAGAAGTCAAATAAATACCACGCAGCTTTTTGGTTCCATCAGGAGATCTAACATCAAATGAATTAGTATCAAATATTGAGGCTACTTTCAATATTGTCTCCTCGTCGAAAGGAAGTCCTAAGACTTGGTTGATAAACGTGACCAAATTAGCTTTTAGAACCAGATACAATGGTGTATTGATTCTTTCGTCCAGATGTGATTCCAAGTTCATTATGTTGTCATATTGTAGTGGATCTGACTCCTTCATTAATAAAACTCTCATCGGTGAAATGACGCAGTAAGCAGACTCAACTTTATCGGGAGATTCATATTTGATACGACAGCGATACTTTCTATTGCACATTGCATTGCATTCTGGCTTATGTACGTCTGATTTCTCACACTGAGGTCCGCACATGGGCCATTGGCATTTTGTGCACTTGTAAAAGTCACAGGTATCACGCAGTGGTTCTAATCTTTTCCCGCACGTTAAGCAAAGAGCTGGAGAGCAAATTTTCGGCCCGAGTACTGCAGGCTTTTCTTTTAAAATCATTTCGCCTTGCTTTATGTCTCTCGTAGCTATCATATGCCGTCCTAAAGTGTCCGATATTTGTATTTTAAAAGCGCAACATTTCAGCCTGTGACCCTCACGCCATCCCAGTTTTTGGTGAGCCCTTGAGCAGTAGTAGACCTGTTTGCATCCCCCGCACGTCTGGTTAGCTGGTTGCTGGCAAACTTCGCACACAGGTATTTCGCGTTTCAAGTACTCCATGATTCGGCCAGAGTTGGCCAAACACGCCCGTCTCGGCTGCTATCTAATACAATACTCGTTCTAAGCAACATAATTACTTCCAACGTCGGAACCGGGATGGATGCCAACTATCGGCGTAGTTCTACTGCTAACATTGTCGATGGTTATTTCAATAAATAAATAAATAACGATCCGCTCGAGTTAAACATGCCGCGGTTTTATGTGGCTTGTTGAATTAAAGTACAATATTTTTACATATACCTAAATTCCTTAAGTATTTAATATTGAACTTTATTATTTGCTATTTCGGGTCTATATTATTATGTACTCTTGTTTTTGTCTTGTATTCGGTTTGTTTGTCAGTACGTATAGTGTGGTACAACATCTTAATTTGAGTTTAATTATTGTGCTTAATACCAGAGTGGCATTTAAGAAGTGTAGTAATATAACTGAAGCTTAGAACACTGACAAGATAAACGAAGAAACGTAATGTTTGTTTTAGTTTTTAGCATTTCTAATGACAATAAGATTTTGAATTCGTGTAGTCGAGTTGACCCAAAAATGCTTGACTGCTAAAAGATAGTTGGCAGCTAACCGCTACATAGTTCGACATGACCTGATATCCTAACAAACATACTATTTATCTAATATAGTCAGGTAATCACATAGTGACCACAGTATCACGGATTACGAGCTAACACAAACAGTTACATGTGGATGACTTAAAATGTCTTCACTAGATTCACTTTTAATTGTCTTTTAAAATGAAGCTCCTATATCACACACTTGAAGTCCTAGGAAATGATATATCTAAATCGGAATGTACCTTCTTCTGTTTATTTTGTGTAAACCTAATAATTAGCTTGCCAACATACTATTTATTACCACTTAATCTTGAGCTGGTATGTATAACAGTAACTATCTCTATAACGAACCGATTCCGATGCGGCTTTCATTGCTAGGGTAACTGGAGCGGAAGGGGGCTTATTTGGTTGTTATTTTTATGAACAAATTGAAGTGTAAAAATTAATGTCACGCTCTGTGGAACCAACATACGATGAATCCTTAGCTTACGTATCCCGTATTAAATAAAAAAGGATACACAATAGAGAAATGCTTACGTGATTCAAATGTACTAAAAATACATTTTTTTTTTCGTTGCTGAGATGGATGGACGAGCTCACAGCCCACCTGACGTTAAGTGGTTACTGGAGCCCATAGACATCTACAACGTAAATGCGCCACCCACCTTGAGATATAAGTTCTAAGATCTCAATATAGTTACAACGGCTGCCCCGCCCTACAAACCGAAACGCATTACTGCTTCACGGCAGAAAAAGCTCTTTATTAAATGACATCGCGATGCAGGATGTAGGTTCAAAGCAAGGATCCGAATTACAGTATAATCTTCATCAATAATACTAATGCTAAGGTTCCATCATGCATACGAAAGGATGTAGTTCGCACTTTTTGGTAAACGCCAAAAAGATTTTTTTTAATGCATAGATAAGCGGACGGGCTCACAGCCCACCTGGTGTTAAGTGGCTACTGGAGCCCACAGACATCGACAAGGCAAATACCGCCACCCACCTTGAGATATGAGTTCTAAGGTCTCAGTATAGTTACAACCGCAGTTCCATCCTTCAAACCGAAACGCATTACTGCTTCACTCACTACGGACTCACAAGAGGTCCTACCACCAGTAATTACTTGTTTGTTTGTTGGGTTTGATTTTTATTACACGATGATATTCATTTACCGTGGAACTCAACTTTGAACATTTGTTGAGTACGTATTTCATAAGAAAAATTGGTACTCGCTTGGGATTCGAACACCGATGCATCGCTCAACACGAATGCACCGGACGTCTTATCCTTTAGGCCACGACGACTTCAAAATGTAAAATGTAAAAGAATAACGAAGAATAATGAAAAAGTATTATCTCTACGCCACAAAAACACGTGCTTTAAAACAATAAAACTCAACATAACGTAACTAACAATGACATACGTATAAAATTTCACGAAACACCATTATAAATATAACTATGCGCGTACAGTGTAGTACTAAATTCGTTCCCGACTGAGTGGGTTCATTCACTCCAGTTTCGCAAGTCGACCAAAACGTCTCGCTGAAAACGAAAAGAGTTTGTGAAATATCTTTTTTTTTTGTGGTTTAAAAAGTTTACCCAGTTAATTCTGAAAAGCGAAAGGTAGGCTATGTTTATATTTTATGACTGAACAGTTACAAGAGCCTTTATTAATGTAGTCTTTTTATTAATCAATAAAATTGACGCGCATAAATGTTTTTTTTAATAAAAATTTAACCGGACGATTCATACGTTGTTGGCTACCTAAACTAATACATATTTCAAAGCTAGTACAGCTGATACTAGGCGCTCAAATCGCATTGTTACATTAGTTAACTACTATTATAATATTTTTATTCTCGGCACAAATAGACCAGCTAGTAAGCTGTTACACAATACGGTTTGAAATTCGATCTCGGATCTACGGGCAAAGGTGGTCGCTCAAGATTGACTAACAATGAAATACGCTTTTCGTTAGATATAGTTAGAACAGTAGTTAGGAATGTTAGGATAGATAGAGTAATAGGTATTCACAATAGTCCGACCCAAGATTTGCAAAAGAATTCCTGGGAACTTTGAACTTTATCCCCCGACCGCTCCGGGGGAAGATGTAGCGCGGTGCCGTCAAGGCGTCTGTGTGACGGCGGGATGGATGTAATATGCTCTGCGTCAACCCTGTCCCGCCGTCTCAATAGCCCCGACTGGGCTCCGACCCGGTCTGGGTAGGGCCCCGGCTGTGAGCAGCAGGAGTTTTTAGTGAGCTTCAACTCCCACATACCCCACCTGCCGCGCGGGTGGGGATCCGGCGATTTTCTACTGTGGAAAAAACATTAACTTTGAACTTTAGTTAGAGTTTTTAGAAATGATTCTTTTACCAGGAGGACAGGTAAGCGAACGAAAAATACGTAATATGACGTAAACATACCTTTAAACCAAGCAAGCTTTTGTAAATTAATATATTTCGAGCGCGCCAAATGTTTTTTTGACCGGAGATCGAAATAAGCTTCCTATACATTGATTGAACTAACTTTGAAAGGTGGGCGAGCAAAGGCTTAGTCAGGAGGGGTGGAATTTGCTAACAGCTGTCCGAGCGCCTACAAAGGAGACCTAACAACTCAAGGGCAGCTGCTTCGCGAATGAATCTATTACCGTATCGGAATCGCGACCCGCTGAGAAGATCCGGCGAGAAACTCAACGGACCGCGGTATGGGCTAGTCTTCGATGGACTAGTTAGCAACCCTCGATTTATTATTTACTGTCCGCTGTGATTAACATAATCGCATAACAACATTCTACGTTCTTTTTATTTATAATCCTACCTATGCTGATAGACTTGAGAGGCTATTTAAGCTTCGCCTTAGCGTGCAGGTGAGCTCTCGGGGCTCAAACCGGAAGTGTTGCTAGCTGGCTCTGGCAAGAGCAGTGCTTCGCAGAATCTACCACCGAATTGCAAACGCGTCCCGCTGAGAAACTCAGTGGGCTGTGTCTATGGGTTAATTTACTCGCCGAGCCCCTCGTCGCAAGTGACGGGTTCGACGAGGACGATGACCGGTGCTTGAGGTACCTAAATGCACCGTTAATGGATCGTGAGGATCCGTAATGACGTGTTTAGGGCGACGTCGCCTGTTTACCATTCGGTCCACAGGATCGGGTATGAAGACCTTCGAAATCCGATACACTAAGTATTTTCTTCGGTCTGTAACGAGTCTTATACACATAATTAAAACTTTGACGGTTTAATCTTAGCTACTTATAGTCAATATATTTATTATTTCTTCGGTGACTCGATGATGCAGTAGTTAGATCCCTGACTGTTGCGTCGTGGGTCGTCGGCTCGATTCCCACATCGGGCAAACATTCGTGTGATGAACAGATCTATTTGCTCTGTGTCCGGTTTATTATCTATATAATGCTAATATTTAAACGTATGCACGTCTGTTTTTGGTACCCATAACACAGGGAATCCTAATTTTGGACCAGATGACCGTACTTGATTTGGTCCCAGTTATTTATCTTTTATTTTATTTCCGAAGCTTTCTCTGACTTACTTTTTGTGGTTCTATAAGTGCAACAACACATTGCGGCAGCTTAAGAAGGAATTTTTTTTTTTAAGTTATACTTCTTTCTTTAGGCGCGTTATGAAAAATTGATGATAGTGAAATTTTACGATGCGCGTGACACAAAATTAACAGAAATAAATTTGCCCACAAGTGCTCCAATACAATTATGGTTAACTATCCGTATGTATTATCCGTATGTATAATATAAATGACAAAATTATTATTTAATATAATTCATACTAAATATTATTAAATTATTAACGTTAAATATGTATTATTAATTGTTTAATATTAAAAAAAAAAAAGAAATAAATTTAATAAAAATAAAGTATATAACTTCTTACGCGCGTACATAAATTAAGTACACGCACCCTTTTTATAGTTGACTCAGAGAGTTATACCAAACGTTATGCGACTCTATTTTGGCTTGAACGATGACGAAACGCTATTTTGGCATTGCGCTGACAACAATTGATAGATTGATGCACTTACTGATATTTATTGCCCCACATTTGGTTTGTTCACTCTTAAATATACTTTATCTTATGGCAATAAATCTGAAAATAAAGCGTAGTCCGATCTAGTTCAGTTAACAATAATTTATTTAAATGTATTCTTTTGATTTCGAACTACGGATTGTAATTTTTAAATAAAATTTTCAAAAAGAAATTATAAATAATATAAATCAGATTTTTAGAATCTAAATTATTAAATCAAACATTAAGTAATACAGCATTATATTTAGCGACTCGATAAAGAAGAGAAAGGTGTCTTTATTGGTTGACTCTTGCAGCCACTGTGTGATCTAGAAGCTTAGTATTATTTTTCTATTGCCTTAGAAGACAAACCAGTATAGTTCTGTTTATGAATAGCTACCATATGCTAACGGACTTTAGTAATACCCGGAGCGTATAAGCTGTCCACTTAGGAATCTCTTCAAGCATTGTTTGAAGAAGAACGCACAAAATTACCGTGGAGGGTAGTTGATTCTCATTGTAATGTTTCTGAGTAGTTGGAACATTGACGGGTGGTGCAATGGTTTTATTATCTCGGTGATGCTATTACTAGCTTTTTTTTTTCCTGAGAGACCATTTCAGAGTAACCTTAACAACTAGGTGAGCTCACGGAGTTCAAACCTGACGATTTTATTATGTCTGCCTTTTATCTATATATGAGTCGTCTATTAACAAAGGTGGCAATCTGTGCATTTGGACAAAAAAATGTTATTGATATGTCAATACAGATTGATTTGAATATAATCGTCTCCTTCAAAGAATACGGTTCAAAACCTGCATTAAATAAAGGTTAATACTTAACCTGTTATTTATCTAAGATGTCGTTCAGAAGAGTTTTGTGACTGCCAATGGAATACAAAGTCAATAATTCGTTTTTCTGATTTACCAATAATCGATCTATCGATTGAGGCACTACGAAGTCTGCCGGGTCAGCTAGTAAACTATAAATAATTCCCGCGAATTAGCTCTCCACTTTTTTTACTTTCTTTACTGCGATACAGTAGATAATGGCTGCCGTTGTAGCCAGGGACATCTTAAACTAGAATGGGGCCCTTGGGCACACAAGAATTTGAGGCCCTTTTGGAAAGTAAAAAAGCGAATTATAATAACATTTTTTACTGAGTATGACCGTTTATTATATGTAATCAAATACAGTATGATATATATGTCATTAATCTATATATTAATATGTGAAGCAAAAACTTTGTATCCCTTTTTACGAAAATTGCGCGGACGGAGGAGTATGAAATTTTCCACACTTATAGAGAATATAGAGAAGAAGTGCACAATGCTAATTGTTTTTTTAAATAATGCATAAAAGATACATTAAATTAATAAAGAAAACATTACACACACTACATACCATGTATTTGACGCACACACGCATGCACACTATTTATTGTCAAACTTTTGTTCTTGACGTCTGTTGTCAAATTGAGAATAGATTAAATATTGTTTGTCTTTGTTAATATTTTTTATAGTGTAGTCTTGGCGAAATTTGTGATTGTAGAAGTATAAAATACAATCATAATAGTGTACAAACTTACAATTTCAATTAATTATAGTCGAATTTCGACTACTGCGGGACCTCTAGTGATATTAGAATGCTGCTGGTTTTTTGGTTACGATTTCGATAACGGTTTCTTTCGGGATTTCTGTTGAGCAAAATCTTCTATTATAGGCATAGCATATGCCTTGTAAATACCTTCTGATTACTGATTTGTGAAAAAAGTGTAATGTGCCGGACAAAAATGTTTTGAGAATAAACGTGTGAGAGAAATTGTCGGTCTTTCGGGGGCCCCTGAGAATGGGGGCCCTGGGCACGGGCCCCGTGTGCCCTTATGGTAAAGACGGTATTGGTTGTAGCCCTTAGTTTGGAAAATAAAATGTTTTAATGGTCTATTATTCTCTGATCTTTAAATATCGGATTGCTTATAAATAGTTTTGACCTGTTGAATTAGCACGTTCAAGTTCCAAGATCACGTTATAGATACACGCCTTGACATCTTTGTAGTATATTACGATGCCAAATAATACGATAGAACGTATTTAATACGTAACCTACACAGTCTAGTCAACTCTAGTCATTAATTTAAAAAGTTCCGAATATGTAGATACTTATAAATTTCTTTTAAAATTGTTAAGGGCGTGCTTGTAGCTATTTACTAGGGTTTATTTTTCCAAATTTCAGTAAAAGTTTCTCATTTGAAAAGAAAACCTGAGATTTTATTAATTTGATTTTTCATTTATAATATTTATTAGATAAAAACATTAATTTACAGATATGGAAAGCGAAAACTCGGACTATGAGGTAAGTCAATTTTAACGCCATCTGTCATCGTATAGGTAAACAAAACTTGAGAATAAACAGAACAGGGAAACAGTTTATTATGAAAATCATAGATGGCGCTATTCACATGAATTTCAAAGATATTTGTTTTAATCCAAATTCATTTTTCATCATTTCAAAATGAATAATCATGCTGAACTTGAAAATATTACGATTAACTATACTAAAATCAGTTTACTTTTCAATATTCAATCGCTCAGGACTGTTTTACTATTCTAACAGTTCTCATGAACACCTCGCGATCAAAATAATCAGTATTACGGTAATATAGATCTTGTACCAACCTCACAATAACTCCTTCACTTTAGAAGCAGTGCGTAGGCTCAGTGTGCTTAGTGTGAGTTTTTTAACGTTTTCGATAGCGTAAAAGTTAATTCAAATTTGTATGCCGTTGGAACAGCGCCCCTAACGGCAAACGTAGGCAATCATTCCAAACTATACAATTAACTTTTACGCTAACGAGAACGTTAAAAAACTCGCACTAAGCACACAAAAGTATCCATCAAATTTTTATTAACGTACTATAGGTTCATAGTTCAGAAGAGCTAGGCCGTTACCTGGTGGCAGCGCGGGATCTATCACCAGGCGAAGTGGTGATCACCGAGAAGCCAATAGTCTTTGCGCCAAAATCCACGCCAGACCCTGAAGCTACCATGCCGTGCGTCGGTTGTTACAAATCCGTTTTCACCGATGTCGGCGAACGCTGTGCCAAGTATGGATAATTTGTAAATGCTTTATTGAATTACATTTGGGCGAAAGATCTCACAAAATTTTGTATATTAAGCGAGATATCGTTATCGACATTGATACATCGTATGAGATCTCCCACTCCTTCGACCGGTCGGAAACGATCAGCTGAACTCAAAGCCCACTTATATTTACGTGGTCTATCGATCCCGCTATCATTATAGTCACTGTTTTATCTGATTCGAAGTCGTCGTGGCCTAAGGGATAAGACGTCCGGTGCATTCGTTATGAGCGATGCACCGGTGTTCGAATCTCAGGCGGGTACCAATTTTTTTAATGAAATACGTACTCAACAAATGTTCACGATTGACTTCCACGGTGAAGGAATAACATCGTGTAATAAAAATGAAACCCGCAAAATTATAATTTGCGTAATTACTGGTGATAGGACCTCTTGTGAGTCCGCGCGGGTAGGTACCGCCGCCCTTCCTATTTCTGCCGTGAAGCAGTAATGCGTTTCGGTTTGCAGGGTGGGGCAGTCTTTATAACTATAATTGAGATCTTATATCTCAAGGTGGGTGGCGCATTTACGTCGTAGATGTCTATGGGCTCCATTAACCACTTAACACCAGGTGGGCTGTGAGCTCGCCCACCCATCTAAGCAATAAAAAAAAACTATCTAAAGTTAAAAATCGTCGATATATTTTGTGAACTATATACATATTACTAAATTTCATCTTCAAATTTTTATATAATAAATAATGCCTGGATTTCCAGGTGCGGTTGGCCAGTCTGCTCCGGGAACTGTCCGGGCCTCAAAGACCCAAAGCACCACAAGCTCGAGTGCGATATCCTGGGCTTGAGGCCAGATTGCGTATTGGATAATATGGCTGATTACTATAGGTTGGTTGCACTTTTAAATAGGCATAAAAAATAAACTATTGTTAGAATTATTATAGGCTGGCTTATTTAATAATAATAATAATAAACATTTATTCCAAACATAAGTTAGGTACAAAAAATAAAATAAAACATAAATAAGAAAAATAACAAGGCTTGGAAAGGGTTACGGGCTCAGCAATGCCTAACAGCAACGAAATATTGCATTTTCCAAAAGGCACTCTTCTTCTACCATCTTCTGTCTAGCCTTTACTTCGACCATCGAGTAGGTACCACGGGCGTCTCCTTAGCCAAGGGAAGCCCGTACGATGTTTGGCCCCGGTACAAAAAAAAATAGCCTTATGAATTGTTTGACATAACCTCAATATCTCTATTAATCCACGCACTCTCCACCACCATAATTGATCAACCTTTATATTCCTGTTACTGCTGTTCAGCCCTAAGATGTTGCCAATGATATTTTTTACGACCTACTATCCCAATCTCTCCTCTGCCGTTTTCCTAAACGCTTTGATATATATGTATTTCACCAAAGGAGACATGAAATTGTTCTTAACAGCGTTAGCGCTTTAATATGCCCCACTATGGACCACTTTTAATAAGGTGGGTGAGATACCTCGTCTGTATTAGTTTATGGGAAAATTTGTTATACTTACTATTACACAATTCATGATTTACAGCCATCCATCAACTAATAGAAAACTCGCAAAGACCAGGTTCCTACAGCGGAATAGTAATTCCAAGGTATTTCACTCGTAAGGTAGCCAGATATATATTTAGGGAAATCAATTTTATTTGCTTATATACTAAGTTACTACTATAGATGCTAAGCAAAGAACCTTTAGTTTCAGTATACGGACAGAACCTTTAACATATTACAAGCAATTGGTGTTCAGTGCATCGCGTATGACGAGACTGCGCACAGCTGAAAAAGTATCAGTAAATTATCATGTTAGATATCACAAGACTTATCGTATGCAATCTCCTAAAAGTAGTTAGTTTAAGTAAGTTTGAAACCTCTGGGTTTGCGGAGGGACTTCGGTTCCCTCTGTATTTATACCGTATGTTCTATGGGGAGTGCTCTGAGGAATTAGCCACGTACCATCCGGCTATGAGCTCCCCTCCACAGTGTTTCCCGAGCGCTATGACATGTCCTTCTTCAAACGAGGCTTGTGGAGAGTATTAAGCGGTAGGCAGCGGCTTGGCTCTGCCCCTGGCATTGCTAAAGTCCATGGGCGACGGTAACCACTCACCATCAGGTGGGCCGTATGCTCGTCTGCTTGTAAGGGCAATAAAAGATAAAAAACAAAAAAAGTAAATTGATATACGAACAAAAGTCTTACTACTTCTCTACTTAGTCCAAATTCACAGACGTAACGATCTTCTGTATAGTTTAAAAATAATTTACTTTTGATGTACCTATTAATCGCCCTTATATTAATAAAGGCAAAAATATATAAAATATTCTTAACCTTGGAAATATTACATCTGGAATTTTCTTTTTCACAGACACGACGCTTTGTTAGCTTTGAGGTGTCTTCTCCTGCAGAAAGCCGATGCAGCTAAATGGCAGCAGTTGTTAGAGATGCAATCACATATGGAATGTAGGATACCTGGCACCCAGGCTTTTGAGTGAGTTCTATATAAAGGTTGATTAAAATATTACGCAAAAACTTTATATAATAATAAGTGTAGATACTTCCTATCATGTCGTACGAATAGCATCACCGTGTTCTATATTTCTGTCACAAAGAAGCTATAGAATGAGGCTACAAGCATGAAGTACTCTTAAAAAAAATCTTACCATTGTAAAAAACGTACCATCCGGCTTTGGAATGAACTACCCTCTACGGTGTTTTCGGAGCGCTATGACATGTCCTTCTTCAAACGAGGCTTGCGGATTTAATGGTAGACAGCGGCTTGGCTCTGCCCCTGGCATTGCTGACGTTCATGAGCGACGGTGACCACTTACCCATCAGGTAGGACGGATGCTCGTCTGCCCACAAAGGCAAAAAAAAAACAATTTCTGAACAACTGACTACCAAGATCTCAACTGAACAGCAAGATCTCTTTTTCAATTTACATTATGTTGGAAGAATCTTTGGTATTTTTATTTGTATCTTCTTTTTCTACACTTATCTTCATCAACTATGTTTATATTTTAAGTTTTAATAAGCTCTCTTTATCATGGCCTAAACCGAAGGCTTCCTACGAACTTGAACATTTTAAAGTAATTTTATTTAACATATGACAGAGCCGTGTGCGTAGTGCGAGTTTATTAACGTTCTCGAGAGCGTAAAAGTTAACTCAAAATTAGTATACAGTTGGAACAGCGACCCTGACGGCAAAAATAGGCAAACGTTCCAACTCCATACAAATTTGAGTTAACTTTTACGTTATCGATAACGTTAAGAAACTCGCACTGAGCGCACTGAACAATAAATTCGTGTAGACTTTGGCTAAACATAAACACCTGCCGGTGGAACTTATATTGATTCCTCACGAACGTAGTTAACAAGTTTCTTTTTAATTTACAGTGAAGCGGATGAGTTCATTGTGGAATACCTCATCAAAAATTTCTTATCAAAACTAGACAGCGGTATGAAGAAAGACATACCGGATATATCGGCGAATCTGATACATAGAATCTGTGGTATTATTGACACAAACGCTATAGAAATTCGTTTGGTAGACGGTGTCGAATTACAAGCGCTTTACACAAAAACATGCATTCTAGAACATAGCTGCCTACCTAACACGAAATTCAATTTCGATCTATCAACGAAAACTAAAGATGATTTATACAAAATATCTGTTAAAATCGTAACGCCAATTACCAAACATGAGCATATATCCACAATGTATAGTCACGCATTATGGGGCACACAAGCCAGACGGCAACATTTAAAAGACACAAAACACTTTTCGTGCAAATGCTGTAGATGCAGCGATCCCACCGAGCTCGGTACTTATTTAAGCGCTATGAAATGTCTCGGAGACGAGAATAAACCGTGCGAAGGTATCCATTTACCCGAAGATCCTTTAGATGACGAAACAGAATGGGCGTGCAGCAATTGTGACGTTAAAATCAGTAATTCTCAAGTTTGTTGTGTTATATCACAGATGCAGGACGAAGTGGACAATGTATTAATGATGGGCGGCGATATTACTGTACTAGAAAACGCATTATGTCGCTTATCAACATTTTTGCATCAAAATCACTATCATTTATACTCAATAAAACATTCTCTAGTACAACTTTATGGTCGGCAGCTTGCATACGCTTCCCAAGAATATTTAGAAAAGAAAATCAAAATGTGTAATGATCTAATAGATATCACGAATACCTTAGATCCTGGTAATGCAAGACTAAGTCTGTACAATAGCGTTTTACATCATGAGTTACACTTGACTTTGGTAATGATGTCTAAAAAAGCTAATATTGATGGTAGTATAAAAAATGTTGACACGATCACAACGGTATTAAGAGAAGCAAAAAAGGCTCTAAACATATCTTTGGAGTGCCTTAAAGATGACACTGAAGAAGCTTCTGGAAAGAAATTATACGAAGTCATTGAACAGAGTAATAAGGAGTTCGAAAGATATTGTAAAGAAAAAAATGTTATTTTGTAAAGAGTTATTTTATTAATTCTGTAACTAATTCTAAGCTTAAATGTTAGTATCACAGTAATATCTTTGAACTAAATATTTATATATTATATAATAGATACAATAATATTTTAATAAATTGGGAAATCTATTAGTATTGTATACCTATTTTTTCGTTAACAATTCGAAAGAATAGATTAAAACTCTTGAAGTCTTTTCAAATACATTTAGTTTTTTTATTTTTTATTTACAAAGTTCAAATGCGTTTAAAACAAGGTCACCTGTGGAATTTTTACTAGACCGTTTTAATTGATATTCTTTTAACTACTTGATTTTTTCTTTAGGACTTGCGTTTGTGATGAAGGTAAAAAAACTCTCATATTCATTTCATTAGATTCCAATAATTCATACATAGAAGATCTGGCCGTTTGAAAATAAAAATATCGATACGCATGAATTAATTAAATTCAAGTAATATTTTCAGACAATGTATTCATTTTTAGTCATCACAGCTATTTGAAATAAGTTTAGGTATTCTGCCAGTGAAAATGTTACTGCCAGATTTTCTTCTAATTAAAGTGCTTATGTTGAATTTCACATCTACATACGAATACTTTTAATAACCTTATGATCTACCACTGAAAAGTCACTATAGGCGACTTTTTTTTTTCGAACCTCGTCTTCGTCATTAAAAATATTATATTACAATTTCGGTAAGAAAGAACAAAGGGACTATCTTCCACCGAGCGGATGCTTTTGTCACGAACGATGATCCAAATGCTCGTAATATTTAAATGCAAGCTTATTTTTAAAATATCGTTAGACAATTTGGGTTTTGCGGATTTTTTTTCTATTTCATTTTAGCTATCGCTACATCAGTTCCTTCAGAGGTCGGAGATTGTCCCAATAAATAGCCGTTGCCCCTACTGAGATTAGCATGCCAGTGTCAGTTTGAAATGTTGTGAAGGGAACATCAATGCTGCGTCAGTGCCGTAAGTATTCCACGTATTACAGAACTGCCTCGCCGGAAAAGTGACCCCAGGAGTTGATGATTCTTTTTACGAATGGGCCGATGGTGTGATGATGCAGGGAGGATGCTACAGGATCATTAATCGCGTTAAGTTGGCTATGATGAGTCTGTTGAGGCTGCGGTGTTGTCTTAGTGTGGGACGGTTGCTATCACGGCAGTCCACTTTTATAATATAAGTCTGAAGGCTACAGTTGGTGCGTCATTTGTTTTGGGGTGATAGTCATTCTTGGTTCTGTGGAGCCAGTTTTGGGAATGACAAAGGGAAGATCTTCCACTCTCCATATATTGAAGTGAAAACTTCTTTAGAATCGTTGTGATTTCAAACCGGATGCAACGAAAAAAACGACAGGTAAGAGACACAAATACAAAAATGTGTAGGATGAAGCCAGCAAAGAATGAGACAGAAATATACATACTATTTAATACAGCGCCATCTGTGAGATTTTTAATACTAACGTGTGTATGAAAGCTCTTGTAGTGAATTTTAATTTAGGATTATATGTGAAATTAAAATATCAATTCACAGAGGGCGCTACCTTACAATTATTTACTAATGACAAAATTTTACATATACTTAAGACGTTTAGGATAATTGTATTTTAATTTTGGAAGGTTTCACTTCTACCACGTGTGAATTGCACACATGTATTTTTTTTCAATAGATCAAAGATTCAAATATCGCTCTTCGGAACTTATATAAATGCATGCTTATCTTGATAATATCAGTTTTTTGTTCGAATTCTTCTATTTTTACTATAACGCTACTGCCATTATTATCGTTCTCATCCGAATCTGGGATACCAACTTAAACCGGATCTGGAATTCTCATTGGTTATACTTTGGACGATCCAATCTGTATACCTCGAGACTCTGGTATAGACGCCTGGCAACTTTGGACGCGCGCAACCACTGCCTGTTGATACAACTCCGACAACCATTGTGTGCTTTTTGTCGTCTCTCACCATAAGAGGACCGCCGCTATCGGCCTGCAACAAAAAAATTATCTGAACTCATACATTTTTAATATTCTTACAAAGTAACAGTCGAACGAATACATTTGAAAGGAATAAAATTAATGGCTGCTTTAATGGAAAAGCCACACATCGCTGCTACAAAATATTATAATAATTGAAGCCAAAATCTTTTATTAGTAGAAAAACGACGCAGAATATTTATTATACACTCATAAACTGGGAGCCGGTGAAAGAAATGTATTAGAACAATAATAATTTTACGAAATTATTTAATATATAATACTAAGCCAATTCTAGATAATTAACTAACATCTTATATCACACTACATAATGTCGTTTAGATTTTTACAGAAAACGTTCCCTAAGACAATACGGAAATAAGCATCCAGCGTAAAATATATATTATATACATTTACTATGTAGCTTAAGCATGCAATTTACTTAAATTATTAATGTTCATTGTTAATTTTAAATGCAAGTTATGTAGTTAATATTTTATTATGTTACATTACGTGCTATGGATAAATATAAAAAAGTCCTTTTTTTATTCACTTTTTTTATATTAGTACATAGTGTAAAGTCCAATGGTAATATCTAGGTTAAATCTACTTTTATAATATTTCTCACGCCGAACGAGGTTCATTTAGCTTTGTTTTAACTTGGAGAGCTTAAATATATTAAACACTCAGAATTAATGGATGTAATGCTATGGAAATTAGAAAATCCATTAATAATAAGTTCAGTTACTTTGTTCATTACTCACCCAGCAGGAGTCTCTTCCCCCGTTTTCATAGCCAGCGCACATTTGGGTAGGAATAATCTTAACTTTGCTGCCCTGTGATTGATACCATTGGTTGCATTGGTCGTTTGTGACCACTGTCACTTCTGTCTTTTGGAGTATGTTGGATCGATCCCCTGAGGAACAGTTGTTATGTGTAAGGTTTTGGATATTTTAAATAAGTACAACCTATTGGTTAAGTTGGGCAGATGAACTTGTTGACTTCCGCGGTGAAGGAATAACATCGTGTAATAAAAATGAAACCCGCAAAATTATAATTTGCGTAATTACTGGTGGTAGGACCTCTTGTGAGTCCGCACGGGTAGGTACCACCGCCCCGCTTATTTCTGCCGTGAAGCAGTAATGCATTTCGGTCTGAAGGGTGGGGCAGCCGTTGTAACTATAATTGAGACCTTAGAACTTATTTGTCAAGGTGGGTGGCGCATTTACGTTGTAGATGTCTATGGGCTCCAGTAACCACTTAACACCAGGTGGGCTGTGAGCTCGTCCACTCATCTAAGCTATAAAAAAAAAAATCGAGGCAAAAAAAAAATGAATTCTCGGTCCATTTGCTAAAACAATAAGCAAATAATCAATCAATAATTGAAACAAATTTGAAAAAATCATTATGTCCAGTGTATTCGAGTGTCTAAGTTGCCCTAGAATCTATATGTGTAAGCATCAAATGGAAAGACACGGGTGAAACTTGGTTATTTAAATAATTATGTTCGTAAAAACGATTGCTTAGACAAATATGTACATTATAAATATCATATTATCGATGTGTGTAATATTACCCTCGTTTCTGTTCTCATCAGTAAATCCCCAACCAGCTACAGTAGCCAGGGATCCACTAAAGTCTTCAGATAAGAATTTTGGTAGACAAGCTGGCCTCAGTTCCGAGGACCACTGTAACCTCCTCGCTGTCTTCAAGAGGGCCACGTCATTGGATTTCTTGTTGCATCTAGGAAATACAGATTTCTGTGTTTTCATTCTATATTATTTCTGACTAATTACTATTGAATCCTTTTCTTTGCGTGCCGTATTCAGTAATTAACTCACAGACACTTCAAATGATTTTTTTTTTATTGTATCATCATAAAAAAATCAATAATTCACGGCACGTCATGTAGTATTTATTAGGTGCTTACTGAAACTACACCCTTATACATTTTGGTAATAAATCTAAATTTAAAAAGCCCGTTCCTATCAAACCAATGTGTTGGTTGTTTAGTGGCAGAATTGGCAGGTTAGTTGTACACATTCGTGCTGACCTTACCTGAATCGGCATATTTTTGTAAAATCGTATTCAACACGTACTTACAGCTAGTGGAGAAGTAATTATAAGCTACGTACTGGTAATCCGGATGTGGTATAATCTTAGACAGCGGCTTGCTGTCGTCTCTGGATGAGATATCCGTGTACCCAACCACAACTGACAGTTGCTTTGTTCTGTAGAACTCGTCAAATACACTGTAACAATAGGTTAACTTTGTTAGGTTCTGAAGATCAAAGTACTCAGATCTGTGATGGTAATTTGGCCTATATTTGACAAAAACCCGATTCGCGCTAATGACTTATCCAGGTATCAAGGTAAGTTTAAAAATATCCAAGTTGTGATCAACATCATTTGAAAAGTAAGGCTACCACGTAAAGAGACCAGCGATCTTTATATATCCAGCACAGAAAGACCAGGTCGGCGAAAGATTTCCGGTTTTGTTCATTCCTCAAACCTCCATATTTAATGTTTGTTCTAATTAAATATGAAAGGGAATTTTTATTTTATTTTTAATTAAATATCAATTAGAATTTTTACTAAGTAGTGGTTGGGATTTCCATCAAAATTCTAATTCTATGATATTTTTGTCTATGTTCGTATTATAGCCCGAGGAAAGCCAGTATTGATTTCGGAGTCATGGATTGGTCTCCACATCGCTATGGATAATTGGAGATATAACACAATGAGTATTGACATCAGGCAGGTGGTTAATCGTAAAACATACGCCAAATCTCTATGCAGCATGATAAGAGAACATGCTGAGAACATTACTGGTGGTGGGACCTCTTCTCTGTCCGCGTGGGTAGGTACCACAACCTTGCCTATTTCTACCGTGAAGCAGTAATGCGTTTCGGCTTAAAGGGTGGGGCAGCCGTTGTAACTATACTTGAGACCTTAGAACTTATATCTCGCATATGCGTTGTAGATCTCTATGGGCTAACACCAGGTGGGCTGTGAGCTCGT